GTGTTAAAGTTGGAGTTTATTTGGGCAGACCTTTTTGGGTTTAGCCCTAACCTGTTATGGGGTCTTTTAAAACTGGGAGGTGTTTTGTGTTTTGTGATACGGTTTAGATAATAACATACCTGATTTATATCCTATTCAGCCACAGTAACACTTTTCTACTGTTAGAGTTGGTTTGGCTCGCCCAAACTCAACTGTATCCAGAGAACGCCTAAACTCATGGTCATGTACGGGTCGCCCAAATGCAGACTCGATTTGAGATGCACGTGCATGAGGTGTATATAAGAAACCAGTGTCTGATCAGAGGTCGCAAACGACACTTGGAGCTATTTTGAGACGTCAGTAGACCTAGATTAATAGATATCTACCAGAGAAGAATAAGCGTAAGTTTATCCAACTCTCCTGTAATCGGCAAATCACTTTAGATATACTGAGCGCCATGGAAAACGCATCACTTTTTTTCCCCAAATATTTTATTACTAGGTGGTTTTGTATGTATAATACTATGAACTATTGTTTCACACAATGCTCCCAAACGCAAAAAATATCGGTCCGTGTCCACAAAAAAAAAAATGCACGAGATGCACATGAAAAACCCAATATTCACGTGCAGCATTGTGTGTGAGCCCTTTAAAAGCATGTTTTCAACTTAATGTGCAGTACATGAACTGTGAAACGTCAATCTGTTATATGTTGTTGGAAGTGTGAAGGAATCGAGCTAGAGATGCCGAGACTTACTGAAAATCAACGGAATGAAGCCATGGGAACGTCCAGGACTGGCGTGTCTACACGTGCTATTGCCAGACACTTCAATTGTCATCAGTCCACTATTGTAAGGTTGGTGGAACGTGTTCGAGTTACTGGATCAACACGTGACATCAACGTCCTGGTCCACAACGCGTTACAATCCAGGCTCAAGACCGCTACATCCGGGTCACTCATCTGCTGCGTCTTCGAAACGAATCGATGGGTTGGGAAGTGTAATGGTGTGGAGAGGCTTCACATTTCATCCCCGGACCGCCCTACACATTTGCAGGGGTCGCGTTAATGCTGTAGCCTAACGTGATGATGGCCCGTGGAGGACACACGCGCTACTGACATCTGTGTCGTACTTTTGGTTTTGACCCCTCTGACTTTGTACCCTTGATTACAGATTAAACATCCATAAGTGTACAAATGTGTTGTTATTGATGTGTTCCCATTTGAATATTGTTCACAATAAGAAGCAAAATAAATAAGATGTTTACAGGATCATTTTGTTATACGAAAAACTAAGTGATGCGTTTTCCATGGCGCTCAGTATATATAGCCAGATTGTGCAGAGTTCAACATGTTATGGTAAAGTGGGCGTCGTCAATACAGACTACAACTAAGTACGTTAAACTAAAAACATTAATTCATAGATATACTATTCAAAAAAAGTAGGGGATATTTGATTTTTAAGTGTTATTAAAGTCACCTAATGAAACTGACGAAGAAACAAATGACAAAATGAAATGAAGTTCACATTCATCGATTTATTCCAAATGATCGTTAGACTAAGTAAGGCACAGACTGACCATTATAAGGGTAAAATGATACCCGGGGTCAAACAGCAAAGTTACCACAGCATCACAACCAAGTCAGTAACGGGTAAATCCTCCTCTGTTTGCCAAACAAGCATTGATCCGACGTGGCATACTCCTAATGAGACGTCTAAGGTCATTTTGGTCCAGATTGTCCCATTCCTGTTGCAACGCAGCAGCAAGTTCTTGGACATTGGCAGGACGTTGTTGACGTTGACGTAACCTCTGTCCAAGCATGTCCCAGACATGCTCGATGGGGAGAGGTCGGGACTCAGTGCTGGCCAAGGTAATGTGGTGATGTTCTGTTGTTGGAGGTAACCTGTAACGATCCTGGTCCTGTGACATCTTGCGTTGTCATCCTGGAAGATGAAACGGCGGCCATGACGTCGTGCGAACGGCACAACATGGACTGCCAAGATGTTGTCCCGGTAGTACTGGCCTGTAACACGCCCTGCAACAACATGTAAAGCCGTTCTTCCAGCAACAGTGATTCCTCCCATCACCATAACAGAACCACCCCCAAATCGATCATGTCTGATGACGTTAACGTCTTGGAAACGCTCGTTTCGACGACGCCACACCCTCCTACGTCTGTCCAAAAAATCAACAGTGAACCTTGACTCATCTGAAAACATCACATTGCTCCAGCGTCGATTATGCCAGTGTTGACGATCCCTACACCAACGACGTCTTGCCTGAATGTGATGATCTCTCAAACAAGGGATCACGCGAGGACGTCGGGCGCGAAGGTGACCCCTATGCAGTCGATTCCTAATCGTCTGGCCACTCACTCTCACACCAGTGTCTGTTTGAAGACGAGCGCTGATCTGATTTGCTGTGATGACACGATTTCTCAAGGCCAAGGTACGGATAAATCGATCCTGGGCTTGAGTTGTCGCCCTTGGTCGACCTGAGCGTGGTCTGTCCTGTACAGATTGTGTATCACGGTATCTGGACCATAGCCTGCTTATGACAGACTGAGAAACATTCATCGTCCGCGCCACAACCGCCTGTGTTGTGCCGATCTGTAGCATGCCAAGGGCACGTAACCTTTCATTTTGGGTAAGCCGACGCATATCAAAATTTGTTTTCTGGTCACTAAAACAATTAAACTGATGTTTCCACCCTGGAATTCAATGCCACAATGACTGTAACATTCAAAGTCAGAGTCGTGCAAATCTTGGGTTGGACCCCCATGATGATCCCAAGCATCACCTGCATTCCATGCGGTAGCTATTGGTGCGTTTGGGCGTCACATGTAACTGGAAATGTTTCTTCTGTTAGGTTCTATAGTGACTTTTTTCGTAGTCATTTGCATATTTTAGTATTATGCCCCCAAAATCAAATATCCCCTACTTTTTTTGAATAGTATATATACGTTGACACGTTTTATAAGTAATGATTTAAAATTTCCAAATATATATTAATCCTCTATTTAATCTTTACTTTTAGATATGCAAAAAATCATAACGATGGAATTATGTACTTTCAGTTACAGACATGCAGTACAGCAATGCATAATAATAGAATCAGGTAAGTGTTAATATACAATTTCGTAACATTTCTAAAACGTCAATAGTTCACTATTAATATTGAACATCATATCTGGAAACAACACTAATGTTCAATTCTCTGGAAACAACGCCTTACAATGTTCAATTCTGGTAAGTACACTCTGGTATTTGCCTGTCTACAGAACAGCATTAATAATTGAAATCACAACTGGAAACAACACAATATAATGTTCAATTCTCTAGAAACAACGCAAAATAATCAATTCTGGGAAGTACACTTTGGTATTTGACCCTCTACAGAACAGCATTAATAATTGAAATCACAACTGGAAACATCGCCATATAATGTTCACGGGCACCAAAAATAATAGAGGTCAGCTTTAGGGTATAAGGAATAAGTATAAAAAGTTTACAAGACGATCGATTAAGAATTGTGGGCTGTAGGCGACACACAAAAAGAAAAGGGTGTGGCACGGTCCCTGAGGGTTGGGTATGCACCCCAAACGATAGGGATGTACCTTTAGGGTACAAAGAATAAGTATGCAAAGTTTCAAGATGATACGTTAAGAAATGCGGCTTGTAGACAACAAATACAAGAAATGGGCGGGGCTCTGCCCCAGGGGTTGGACACGCACCAGAAACAATAGGGATCATCCTTAGGTTATAGGAAATAAGTATGTAAAGTTTCAAGATGATCACTTAAGAATTGTGGCCTGTAGGCGACACACAAAAAGAAAATGGGCGTGGCACGGTCTCTGGGGGTTAGGCATGCACCCCAAAGGATAGGAATGTTCCTTAGGGTACAAAGAATAAGTATTGCAAAGTTTCAAGATACGTTAAGAAATGCGGCTTGTAGACGACAAACAAGCAAATACAAGAAATGAGCGTGGCTCTGCCCCTGGGGGTTGGACATGCACCAAAAACAATAGGGATCATCCTTAGTGTATAAGACATAAGTATGTAAAGTTTCAAGATGATCACTTAAGAAAATGGGCATGGTTCTGCCCCTGGGGGATGAAACCTTTTTATAAATTAGTTTTTGCCTTGTATCTATATTTGTAAGCAAATTACAAAATTATAGATACGGTTTCAGTTTAAATATGTTTGTAATTTGGCTTAAATCATATCTGAACTAGAGTTTACAGCTACATGTAGTAAAAATACTGTAGGGTCTAACTGAAAGGGTATGTGGGTTTATATCAACAGTACTACTGATAGATTCTAATCTCCATTACTTCATAACCATATTACTCAAACAATCTTCTGGCTCATCAGACTCTATAGCCACCCGGTCCATAATTTCTGGGTAAACTCCTGCCCACCAACTCTCGCAGGCCCCTGGGACCCAATTGACGATATAAATATTGGGCTTGTGTGCTCACACATGGTCTTGTGCACTATACAGCAGTCACCACACTCCCGAAATACTGTTATCAATTGAAGGCTTGACAGAAAGGGAGAAAACTCATTTTTATTACCGTTAATGGATTTCCAAAATTCCTTGTTCAGCCTTGGCATTTATGTTTTGGGTATTCTTTGCCAAGGATGAAGGCTTTGGGTGTTTTTGCCAAAATTCAATTTTATGCTAACTTCAGAATTATTAGTATGACAATTGTGATGACTATCATCAGGCTCTAAATCGAGGTATTGCAAACATTTTACTTGGAACTCTCAGGATTTGTGTTCCTGGTGTTATAAGCTTTCCAAAAATGTATAGTTTGTTTAGCTTTGAGGACCTTGTATTGGATATGTGTTTCTAAGTAAGCTACAAATTTTGGTAACTGATGGGTCAAAATTGCTGAAATGTGTATTGCTGCGCTCCTGCAGTATAAATATATTAATCTCTTGCTCTCAGCCCTTTAAACCACATTTACTGAAGTTCCTCTCCAAATTAATGATTATGAAGTTTAACACATAAACAACATTGTCTTTAAAAAAATTTTTATTTCAACTTGGTTTGGATGGAAATTTATGAAAGAAAACAAGCCAGCAATGAGGCTGCAGATGTCCTCCACCTCGATGCCAAAATAAATAGACGACACCCTAATTCATTGCACATAATTTCTCTTTTTGTAAAGGTTCGAGCAATCAAATTTAGCCTAAGCAGAAAATGCTCATAATTGAACTTAGTCATGGTTTTGATGTAGTGAAACTAGATACAAATCACTGAATCAGAATCAAAGTTATTGAGTCCCTAAGTATCAACCAAAGTCCTTATCTCTGCTTAGCCGTAGCAAAAAATGATAAATCATGGAACTCAGATGAGGCATTCACCTAATGAACATATAAACCAAGTTTGAACATTCTATCACAATTATTGTTTTCCATTGTTTCAACCCATCAAATTGCTTATTGCTCCTAAGCAGAAAATGCTGATCATTGAACCAATGTAATGATATTGTGTTCCAAAGTCTTAACCAATCAAATAGTTTATCTCTGCTTAGCCTTAACAGAAAATGCTCATCATCAACAAACCCAGTAAAGGTTTTCACCTGACGAACGGTTGAACCCATTTTAATAGTCCCTTGCTTTTTTCAAAAGGCGGTGGAGGGGAACAACAATAATTAAGTCAAGGTGACAAAGATGGGTCTAGCACACGAAATAAAACGTTAAGTACAGAGTACAAAAGTTTGTGTTTTTTTTTTAGATATGTTCAATTGATCAGGAATTTATGAATATTTTTCTAACATAAAAAGTCTGATATAAAACAAATACGCCATTATTGTTTCCAACTTTCCAATTCATATTATAAATTAACATAAATAACACAATATATACCATTGTTAAATAAAAGAAATATATCATTATAAGCAAGCCAAGAGTGAGGCAGATGTCCCCCCACTCCAAACCCAAAACAAGCCAACAGTGAGGCTGATCGCTGATGTCCCCCTGCCGCAATCGCATAATAAACAGAGGACACATAGTAATTAATTGCACAATTACCTTTTTGAACAGAATCCAGTAATTAATTGCACAATTACCTTTTTGAACAGAATCCAGCAATTAAACCGATTATACTTAGTCTAAGGAGAAAATGTTCAAGATCGAACTCCGTCAAGGATTTGAAGTACCTGGTAGTGAACAACTATATACTAAGTTTCATCACTCTATCAGATAGAATCAAAGTTATCGTGCCTCAATGCAACGACCAATGAAATTGCTTAGCTCTGCTTAGCTTTAGCAAATGTTAATCATTGAACTTGAGTCTGTATTCTTATTCTATGTTAAGAGTTGATCTAAAATGACAAGTTTGAGGGGAATAAGTCTTTCAGAAATAATTTTAATCCTATTTTCAAAACCCATTATTCCAATTGAACTCAATACTAAGTTTCATCACTCTCTATCAGATAGAATCAAAGTTATCGTGCCTCAATGCAACGACCAATGAAATTGCTTAGCTCTGCTTAGCTTTAGCAAATAATGTTAATCATTGAACTCAATCAAGATATTGACCTAATAACATCTACACCAATTTTACACATTCTACCGTAATTAAAAGCAGAGTTATGTTCTAAAGTCTTGACCAATCATATCGCTACAGCAGAAAATTATCATCATCGAAATTAGTCGAAGGTCTTGGTATAATGAATCTAGACTCTGGTTTTCATCACTCTTAACCATAAAAATTGCTTATCTCTGCTTATGATTGATAATGCACATGACTGAACACTGTCCAGGCATTCGCCTAATAAACACCTACACCAAGTTTGAACATTCTACCTCAATTAGAAGGAGAGTTATTGTCATTAATTATGTGTACCAAAGTTTCAAATTGAAATATTGACTTAGCCTAAGCAGAAAATACTCATCATTGAACTTAGTCAAGGTATTAATGTAAAGCAGAAAATGCTCATCTTCGAAACTCCATCGAGACATTCACCACATGAACTCCTACAACAAGTTTGAACATTCTAGCTCAATTAGGAGAGAGTTATTGTGTGACGGACGAACAGACACACCCATTTTAGTATACCCTTGTTTTCTTCGAAATCGGGGGAAAATAAACTGATGACACATGTTAATTCTTAACACATATTTTATATAAAGCATCGGACAAACAAACTTAAGCAGAAAATGTTAATCATGTACTGAAACTATATACTAAGTTTCATCAGTCTCACTCAATTAGTGTTTGATCCCTGCATTGGCCGAGAAAGTTCATCCAAATTTTCCGGCGTGGTTCCCCCTTGTCAGTGATGCAGGACGGAGGGCCTGACAAGGACAGCTGTCTAGTCCTTCGGATGAGACGAAAACCTGATGTCCCGTGTATACATTGGAATGCACGTAAAAGATCCCTTGACAGTTGGAATTCGATATAAGAGTAGGCCGTAGTGCCGCTGTCCGGGCAAAATTTCCCTCATAGCACACTGTGTGGCGTATGCCCGTCTTCATTAGCCCAGTATAGGAGCAGAACAGTAGGACGTTAAACCCTATTTCATTTCATTTCATTTCATTTCAGTCAATTAGAATCAAACTTATTGTGCTCAACCAATCAAATTTAGCTTATTTAGAAGTACATGTATCCCAAAATGCGACACGGACAGACCGAAGGGTCACAGACAGACCCATTTTAATAATCCCCTGCTTTCTTTGAAATGTGTGGACAATAAAAATAAGAATTTCTTTGAATATCACAGTCATACATGTAGAACAAATAATAAAGATATTATATATCTATCATTAATTTCTTTTACAATTCAAAATAAATAAAATATCTTCAACAAAATGCATAAAAATGCTTTGGTCCTAAAATAACAAATGCTTCATCTATCATAATTTCACACATTGTGTACCCTACACAATATGATCAGATCAATAAGATAGTTAACTGCTACTCTATAAATGAACTTTTGGAATAAAGTAATTAAAACATAATAATCACATCATGCTTTTTGGTTTAAGTAATTAAAACCTGATATCACATATTATCACCTGATTTTCTGTACGGAAAACTAAGTGAATTGACATTTTACATGCGAATATCTAAAAGATCATATCTAAAATAATTTTTTTTAAGGCTAACGTTTATTTTTTTTTTTCAAACAGGTCATATTATAAGAATAAGTTAAGATCTGATCAGGAAAATATTTAAAGAAAAATTCTTACATGTAAATAAAAACTGATTGTATAATGTACATGAATAGATTCTTATATAATGACAGTATAATAAAATATAAATTTATTTTTTACCAGTTGCACTCTTGGATTGCATTACAGCTTTGCGTGTTCCAGCTTTAACAGCTTGAGGAGTTGGTCTTTTCTTAGCTTCTCGTTCTGCTTTTAACTGAAAGTAAACCAATGTATAATTTCAATAATGCATGGCATGTCTCTACAAACCATTTAAAAAAATCTGAGTATGAATAAACGGTAACCAGTGATACTATGAGCATTAATGGATTTAAAAATAAAATTTGTCACCCTCTCTTGATATCTTCTCTCAAAATAGTCCATATCTTCTTCTCCTGGTCTTCGCATAGCTGATACTCTTTCTGTTATATCATCAAAAACAGCATCATTAACAGGAGCTTGTATAGCTGTTTCAATATAAAATATACATAGATATATAGCTAACATATTATATAGCTGTTTAAATATAAAACAGTATAGAAGTATGTACAAAACAGTATAGAAGTATGTACTTGGAGTAAGTTTAGAAAATAATATATTAACGTTACTGTTTCACTTTTTGTGTTAGATGCAGGTGTTATAGAAAGGTTTTATTTGGATTTGATCCTCTGCCGAAGTTCAGCTAATGATCATTCAACCATGAACAGAAGAAGATGGAGCCAAACTCCTCCACACATTGTCAAACTTAACGTATGACATCGGTACACAAAAGAATTTGACATTATAGCACACAGTTCTAATAATTTCTGCATGCAAAGCCCACATGCAGCCAATCACTTAGTCTGAAGGACATCCAACAAAGCCTTTTTTGGGCTCTCCATAACAATTTGGCAAAAGCCAGACATGACCATTTTCGTATATATATATTATCATTATCCCTACAAGTTTCGGGGGTGTAACAAATTAATTACAAGAAATGTTTTGTTTCCTTACCTCCAGCACCTCTAGCCATCTGTGAAGCTTTGATAGAATGAACATTAGCTCGTAGAAATGGATTATCTGATGATGTTATGGCCTGTTCTAAGAATTCTTCTGATGGAGCACCTAAACGTATGTCATAAAATAAAAATCAATTACCGGTATCCTATTTGATTTATGCTATGATGAATGATATAGCAATAAATAAGGAAAAATTGTTACACTTATTTTTGAAGATTTACGATCAAGCAGAAGTTGCAATATAGATTCTTTTTATATATAGAATTAATATTATTCTTTTACATCCTGGACAGTAAGTCAATAGGTTAAGATCAAGGGTCCAGGGAGATAAACATATTTTGTAACCAAAATGAGGGTGCTGTCTTTGTCGCAGACTTTTGGAGACACAACTAAAAATAGTCTCTCAATCACATGATAATGATAGCTTTTATGAATGGAGTATTCATTTATTTTCCCAAAATTTGTAGATACAAATTGTCTGGTATGAAAATATTCACACTGAAAATACTTTATATACTTTTACATTAACTAGTATTGCTTATAAAAGACTACCACTCAACACATGTCCCAAAAAGATTTACCTCTACCACTGGGGTCTAATCTCTGATACCCTTCAGCTAATGATGAGAACCCTGTTATTCCTCCCATAGCAGCATATGGTGTAGCTTGACCTATAGGATGACCTCGACCTATCCGTTCTTCTGTGGTTTCTACTATCATACTGTGTTCAGAAAAAGGTTCCCCGCAACCACACGAGAATGAACTCTTAAAACCAATACATTTGGTACAGGCAGCTGCAAATTAGAGCAAACCAGCGGTTACCAGGCAAGATAGGCCCACATTTTGCAACAGATGGATAGAGAACAAGCTAAAAACAAAAGCGATTTTTCGTACAATCAGGGGTCATAATCCAGAAAGTTATGGTCTGAAGTGCGCAAGTACGGAAAGGGACTGAGATCTTTGGGACATAAACATATATTTTAAGTTTCATCAAAATCCGATAAAATTTGTCTACTAAAGGGTCAACAAACTTCGTATTACATACTTTTACGCAATTTGCGTACAAAGCAGGGGTTGAAATGTTTGTAAAATTTTACTTGTCTCAGGTGACAAGTAGAAAGTTTTATTTACACGTTTTTTAAAATCGGATAACAAATTGTGACCTTTACTCCTCTAAAGAATCCACAAGCTAAAAAACACGATTTTCCATACAATCAGGGGCCATAATCCAGGAAGTTACGGTCTGATATGCGCAAAAACCAAAAGAACCGAGATCTTTCGGACATAAACATATATTTTAAGTTTCATCAAAATCTGATAGCAATTGTGACTTCTAGAGGGTCTACAACCTTGGTATAACATACTTTTACACTATTTGCGCACAAGGAGCACTCATTTTGTCAGGCAGTTTTGGTTCAACTTTCACGAAATTGGAACTCAACTGTCATTATGGTGTAATAGTGATAAATTTAAACGCTTTTTTTTTTTAAAAATTGTGATTTTTCAAACAAGCAGGGACCATTATTCACAAAGTTACGGTCCGATATGAGCAAATATCAAAATATAAACAAACATTTCAAGTTCCATCAAAATCGGATAGAAATTGTGACTTCTAGAGTGTCCACAGCTATAGTTTTACACATTTTACACTATTTGCCTTTTTGTCTGGCAGTTTCGGTCAGATTACTAAGAAATTCAAATTCAACCTTCATTGATGCGTAATGGTGAAATATTTAAATTTAAACGGTTTCTAAAACTGAGTACAAACTTTGACTTCTAGCTGGGTCATTTCATATCAACTGGGCCAATGGTTGGAACATGACTCCCTCCCAAAAAATTATAAAAAATATATATTATAGTATATTGCCTTAACCCTTTCACTGCGTATACCCGGTAGTACCGGGTATTATAAAATGTCGGTAAAATGCGCGTACCTGGTATTACCGTGTACTCAGTAAAGCCCTCGTTAAAATTAGTACCGTAACTGCAAGTGCCATCTATTGTATTTTCTATACACTAGAACATATTTCCACGTGTTTCAAAGCGGCAAACCGTAAAATGGCGGAGTGCATAGTGACAACGTAGACGATGCACTCTCGATGAAGTCGTGAATGACGTCTTGCTGACCAACACGTGGACAATTTCGAGGCGGGTGATACACATAATTCGTTTCCAGTTACTTGATAATGATAGTAGTCAGGACAGTGATTGGTATTATGAAGTGTGTGATTTGTTGGGCGACATTCCGCCCATGGCTAGCTATGTCTCCCGTGCATGATGAACAAGCCCAATGTGAACACGATAGCCCTGTGTCTGCAGTAGATTCTGACAATAATTCTGAAGTTGATAATAATGCTGGCCTGCTGGATCGTAAAAGACGTAGGCAATTCCTGAGTCCTGAACGTGTAGATCTATTGACTGACTATATTGATAATGATATGGGACTTGGGGATGAAAGTGAAAGTGAAAGTAAAAACAAGGTATTGCAATCCGCACGTGGTCATGGCAGCGGGAGACGTGATGCGCGTGTTCGTGGCGGCATTGCTCATGGCTGCTATTGATATTTTTGTTCATTTTATATATCTTTATCAAAATCCAGTGAAAAAAACAATATCTTTCAAGTATTTCATGGAGAAAGCAGCCGAGATCTTTTGGGGATAAACCTATATTTCAAGTTTCGTCAAAATAGGACAAGAATTGTAGAGAGTCCACAAACAAATTAAGGACGGACAGACAGGGGCGACGACAATACGTCCACATGAAAATGTGGGCGTATAAAAATTATATCCATAACTCAAATCATGACTAACCTTTTTTACAGACAAAGGGTGCTATCTCAGAATGGTCATCAGCTGTATGTTTACATGTACAACGGATTGCTTGTCCACCATTTAATGGTACAAAATGGTATGACCTACATTTACAGCCTTTAGCTTTACATGGTAATAATATTGGTCTGTCTGTTGGTAACTTTTCAAAATCGGTCTTATGCTGTTTGTATCTGTGTGTTTGTAAATGAATTATTTATTAACACTAAAAATATTAGGTGCCAACAAAAACTTGAAACTGCATACATAAAATAAGTTGGTTTTATCCAGCAGATTACTTCAAATGCCAACGTCTTATGTTTCATTCTCCTGAGGCCTTTATATATTTTAATAATCCATCCCTGTTATTGGCCAAGAGATAAAATGTGTACAAGGATTTTCTTTTAAACAAAATATATCAGTAGAAATGTTTGAAGAGAATATATCAGCAAATTTTTAAAGCCAATTTTTTTTTAATGAGAATATATCAGCAGGTGTTTTTTGAAGGCAATATATCAGCAGTTATAATATAGTTAGATGAAAATATTTTCATAACACATCACAACACAAGGTATATATGGATATAACTAGTTCTCTATTATTTAATAACAACGTTTCGTAACACCATGGACAGGCAACGCCCACGAAGCCTTTAGAATTCTGTGCCGTGCAAAAAATAGACCAGACAATCTTCACTAAAATAAAATTACCACCCCTCGCGCAATTACCAGTATTAAGTTTAAAAACAAAGAAACAGAAATCAATTCATAATATTTTTTATTAATCTTGCTACTCTATATTTTTTGCAACCCATACATAGATAGGCTACGAACTGCTGCATTTGGAAATTTCAAAGTTCTAAACTGGAGAAATTCGTCACTACCGGATAAAAATACTTATCGGGTTGACAAATTACCATGTAACTATAAGAATACCGTAAACTCTAAGGAGGAGTTCGAGAAATTAATCTGTATAAAATCCCACAATGTCAAAAATCACATCGCTTGATTTGCCATTGACATTGAGATCTTGTTGTGTCTCGCGCGAACGGCAGAGAATCCAACCAAGGGGACTTGTTGCCTGTCCATCTATATACGGTCCATGGTAACACATACAGAGGTCACCTTTTCAAGTTAATGATAAATATCCATATATACCTTGTGTTGTGTTTTGTTATGAATAGTTAACCATGCTTCTAGATGTCATTTAAAGAAATGAAAATATTTGTTTACCGGTGTTTACAGAAGCAATTTGTTTCTGGACCAATAAGTTTACAATCCATACCAGTTGATGAACTAAAACTTGTAAATAATCTATTTTTCATTCTCTACACAAAAAAAGGAAAAGAAAATAATTAAGATTTTTAGGTAATATTATTGGTACATAGATTCCATACATTAAAATACAGATCAAAATTTTATTTTGTTTCCTTTTTCTTGCCTTTCCTCTGGATAGATCTATCCTGTTGGCAAGGAATGTCACATCATATTGTCATTTTACTTTACAAATGAATGATGTAAACAAAGCAGATATCATTTCATTGGCTCATCTCTTACAGATGGTGGTATCGCTGACAAGGTCTATCCTGTTTGCAAGGAATATCACATCATATTGTCATTTTACGTTACTTTGAATGAATGATGTAAACAAGCTAATGTCATTTCATTGGCTTGTCTCTTACAAATGATGGTATCGCTGACAAGATGTCTTATTAATGCTTAGCGCATGCGGAGAGGTCTTTCCTGCAGGAGGAAACCGGAAAAACCAATAGGATGGAAAAGGCACCCCTATCTCCAAACCACATATGCTCACACAAGGGATGGAAACCATGACCGCAAGCCAGAGATGACTGTCCAGCTGGAGCTTGAGGTATGACACACTAGGCCATCCCTAGGGTTTTTAATCCTACATTTTTGTATCAACTGGGCTAATGTTCATGGGCATATGCTATGCAGTATGTGCCATAAAAGATAATTTTGCCTATACAGCGGCGTTTCGGTCTATTCTTCAGTAAATTCCAACTGTCAAGGATTCTTTTACTAGCACATCATCAAATAAATGGGTGGACTTTAAGTATTCATCTCATTCAAATGACTAGACACTGTTACCTTGCCAGGTTCTCCAATCTGAAAAAAGAGCAATGAGAAACCAACCTGGAAAATCCTGAGAACCTTTCTCGGCCAACACTCGGATCAAACCCAGGACCTGTTGGTTAAAAAGTCAGCGTAATATTCACTGAGCCACTGGCTCCACCTTAACTGAGGGTAAGTATAAGATCGGTAGTAAAACTAAAAGCACTCAGAATCCATTGATAGCAATAATAACCAGTTAACTAACTAATCAATATCATCTGTTATTTTCAGATCATTTAGTGCAGGTGTGTAAAAGAAATTAGATAATAGAGTCTGAATTGTAGACAAGTTAAATTACTGCCATCAAACCATGGGTTCCACGTCGGAGATATATGCCAGTCAAGACCTAGGGCTATGGAAAATGACCGTAACTAGATCTGACCCATCGGTCATTTTGCATTCCGGAAAAAAGCCTTTTTATTCCAAAACCCAATTTTTAAACATGGCTACGATCGACCTCCACTATGTAACTATAAAATTCTCACCCAGTGCAGAATAATGCAAACGTATAGAAGCCACATAATCTCATGATTGGTGTTATAGAGTTGTATACATAGTTGTCAACAGATTATACTGAGTGTTGTGTTGATAATTAATGATGAGTGTCTGGTAGTTGGCTGAATGGTTAGCGTGCGCGCGCTGTATCATAAAGTCTGTCATTGAGTCGACTGGCGTGGTTTCGAATCCCCGGTTGTACGTGACAAGGAGTAGGGTCGCCTGTCCAACCTCGTGGTTTTTCTCCGGGTCCTCCGGTTTCCTCCCACTGCTAAAGACCCCTACGCGCAAGCGAATTATTGAAATAAAATTAAACCATATGTTAGTCCCGAAATGACCTAGTTTGTGTCGAGTGGACGTAAAACCCCATTTCTCTCTCTCTCTCTCTCTGGTAGTAGAACAATAACAGTTAATTGATATGTAGGAATCTTATCAAAGGTGTGAAGCAGTCCATTGTTCGTCATTGACAATTTGATCAACCCTGTGTCATAAGAATTTTCTAGAACAAATATAATTATAATCTTCGAAAAAGAATAATCAGATATGAAGTCTGCTTTTCGAATCTAAACTGTCATATTAAATAAAAACAGCATATAAGTTACGCGAATCCTCTCCTATGTACATGTTGAGCTTACTAAAAATTTGTGAAAATTCCGTATTCTAGTGCTACTGTGTAGCAATATTGATAATTCCACGTGATGCAATAACCTTGTGTATATGTGGTTACTCTTATTATACACAACAATATTCTAGGGGGCGATAGTGTTGCTAGCTGTGAAGTTATTTATCCGTTAGTTATTTAGTTATTCATTATAAGGATTTACAGCTACCCTATTCCTATCATACAATCTTCTATACGGTGTAGTCATAATGTGCCATTTGTTGGGACAAAAAAAAAAAAAAAAAAATAATCAGTGTTTTTGTCAAATTTAGATCTGATCTGTATGTCAACAGTAACACAAAGGCATTTATAACACAAGATAGCCACAACAAAGTGTGGAAATATGCCCACATATGGCAGCCACAGACCGTGGCTTATCCAAAAGAAAAACTTTTCAGGGCACATAATGCATCTCTTGAACAGAAGGTCCCAGAATGCTGAATTAAACCGGGTTCATCATCTCCAATACCAAATTTGAAAATCAATAACTGAAACTATAACCTCTATAGCGTTAACAAGCCAAATGTTGACAGGCTCACAATGGATCGCTGGACAACTTAATACACTCTCACGGAAATGTGGATGTATAAATATTATCTTTTTCAAAAAAGAGCATATTAGTTACCATGGGAAGGACCTTCTTCTTGTACTCTTCATATTGGTCAGGTGAAAACATAACACCTCCATCATCATCTCCAACAATTCTACAATATGATTTTTCATAAAATATAATAATCCATTGCCATCCAAGATACGCACACATTTTGCAAGAGATGAACCGAGAACAGGGGAAATCAATAGGATTCATCCTTTTTGCCAATGCTTCACATTGAATTTGAAAAAAAAAAAAAAATCTGTTAAGAACGGATTCATGATATATGTTTAAATTTTTTTTTTTTTTAAATCGGAACAGTGATATATTAGCACGTTTTTTTTTTTTTTAAAATCGGATAAAAATTGTGACCTCATACAATCAAGGGCCATAATTCATGAAGTTACAATCCAAATGACGAAAGGAACTAAGATCTTTGGGTTATAAACATGTATTTCAAGTTTCATCAAAATCGGATCAAAATGGTGATCTCCAGAGGGACCACAACCTTGATATACCATATTTTTACATTATTTGCTTAGGAGGGGCGGCCATATTGTCCGGCAGTTTTGGTCCAATTTTCATAAAATTCGAACTCATTATGGTGTAACGGTGATATATTCGAACGGATTTTTAAATCGGATAAAATTGTGACCTCTAGAGAGTCCACAAGCTAAAATCGCGATTTGTCGTACCATCAGGGGCCATAATCCAGGAAGTTACGGGACATGTGATAAACCTATATTTCAGATTCCATCAAAATTGGTTAAAAATTGTGACCGATAGAGGGTCCACAACTTTTGTTTTACATGTTTTTACAGTATTTGCGTAGTCCATGTGACAGACAGATTTTCATTACCAATTTGATGAATAAATTTAACCATGATTTTCAGTTAGCCTTAGGTCTAAAGTGTCCAAAATTGGTTAATGGACATCCGGGTCACTTTGCAAAATGTGAGTTTCGTGACCATCTTTAAAAATGGCCGCCGTTTTTTTTATTTGAAATAGTGCAAGTCAGGGAAACCTCCACAACTCCTCAACAGGTTCACCTATGGATATGTAAAATGGCTCAAAATGTTCATAATACAATCCTGAATTGGCTGGTAGATGCTATCAGTTTCAAAATAAAAGACTAATCTGAAAACAGCAATATTTTCGGGGGTTATTTTTTTCATGATATCTGTTCATAAGTTTACTAAAAAATCTTGTTCAGACCCACATAAGCCAAATTATCTATTTGGTCAACTAAAGTGAACTATTTGGTCAACTAAAGTGATTTACAAGATATCAGAAATATTGATCATAAAAAATAATCTCTTATATGAGTGTTCCAAATCCTAGATGGCAGAGATTCAAAATGGCGGCCAAAAGTTGCTCAAATAGTCGATTTGTCAGATAATAGTTATTTCACATTTTGATATTACACGTAATATTCAATTGAAAGGGATTTCAGTGTTACTGAACTTAAAATTAACCAAAACACAGAGCACTGAAAAAAAAATCCAAGATGGTGAATATTCAAAATGGCGGCCAGTATTTCAGAAATGATTGATTTTCTGTTTAATATAGCTTGCAATATGTCTTTTATAAGCAAATAACACACTACTTATAGATAACAATAGTTTATTTCACAAGTCGTTATCATGTTTTTACTGTTATGACCTATTTCTCGTGGTTCATTATACCGCCTAAATAATTGTTTGATCTTTTATTCTTGTGGTTATCTATACGAATTACAGTTTATACTTGTCTATGTGCATTAATTTGTTTATGTAACGGCTTGGGACAGTTGTCCATGCTAGCTGATTTTGCATCCCATTGGAGGGCCCGCACTGCTCTTGTATATATATATAACCATATTCTTTTCATTTTATTGTCCCCCACCTTTCGAAGAAAGCAGGGGACTATTAAAATGGGTCTGTCCGTCCGTCCGTCTGTCTGTCCGTCACACGTTTTGGGACACAATAACTATCTTTCTAAATGAGCCAGAATGTTCAAACTTGGTGTAAGTGTTTATTAGGTCATTGCCTTGATGGAGTTCGAAGATGGGCATTTTTTGCTTAGGGTAAGCAGAGATAAGCAACATGATTGGTTGATGCTTTGGGACACGATAGTACTTTAGTTCTAATTAAGTGAGATTGATGAACAGGGGTGTACATAACGCTTTTGTTTGGGGGGGTGTTTAGCCAAAATGCGACCGACTGATGCACATACCCCAGTACGAGTGACACAGTCAGGAGCCGCGCACCACAGGCGCGAGTTTTCTAGGGGACATGTGCAGAGCAGATCTAGAAGTTGGGAATAGGGGGTGGGGTGGGGTGGGGGTGGTTCCAAATCTAGGGTGCCATCCACAATCCCACCCCACAATGAATGTCAACAAAATACTGGCTATAACAGCCGATAGTTGTCTCGCCAGAAAGCAGTTTTATTTAAGTTGACATAAAGTTTATGTCATACATGATAATTGTGCCTACAACACTGAGCAACCTGAGAAAATTTTGAAAAATTGAGTCAATATCCTAGCACTTGAGGTCATTGCTGGGGGAAAGTCTTGTGGACGAGAGGACCAGAAATGTGAGCCAATGGGACAGAATCTCGAGATCTCCCCCTGTCAATTCCGCCTGTTTTGCAAGAGTTGACATAACATTTGTATAGTCTGACGCCCCACGACCCACACACCAGTATAACTGGGTAGTTCACTATAACCGTGAATATGACAGTGCCGAGACAGTATAAGAAAACAGAGGAACAGAAGAATGTTGCTACAACGGAATTGAGCGCCGCAGACGCAAAAAATTTTCAGATATGTAACCGGGCTTTTAATTTTTCGGGACTGGGCCTGAAAATTTTAGTCATTGTCATGGCAAATGGATCCAAATTCTCGCTAACGAGAGAATAAGAAATGAGACAGAATCTTGTGGCCTATCTGTCAATTTCGCCTGTTTTGTAATTGTTTGTTTACCTCATTAATTCATTTAGTCTGAGACCGACTGCGGTGAGTACTTTTTTTGAGACCGACTATTTTTTTACCATGGGGGAAAAAAATTTCATAGAACAACATACTCACAACAGCATAAGAGTGATAAACATTTTTTCAAACATGACAAATATGTCACCGGGCTTTTAATTTTTCGGGACTGGGCCTGAAAATTTTAGTCATTGTCATGGCAAATGGATCCAAATTCTCGCTAACGAGAGAATTAGAAATGAGACAGAATCTTGTGGCCTATCTGTCAATTTCGCCTGTTTTGTAATTGTTTGTTTACCTCATTAATTCATTTAGTCTGAGACCGACTGCGGTGAGTACTTTTTTTGAGACCGACTATTTTTTTACCATGGGGGAAAAAAATTTCATAGAACAACATACTCACAACAGCATAAGAGTGATAAACATTTTTTCAAACATGACAAGCAGACATGGTTATTTTATACTATAGTTTTGTGTGACGTTTGCAATTTAGTCTCACAGATTCACGCAAATACATAGTATTTGGGATCTATTCTGGCATTGTTTGTTTACCTCATTAATTCATTGAGTCGCCGATGCATAATTTTGAGACCGACTGCAGTGACTGCACTTATTTTGAGACCGACTATTTTTCTCCCTGGGTGAAATTTTGTTCATAGACCAACATACTCACAACAGAATAAGAGTGAAACACAACATTTTTTCAAACATGATAAGTTGACATGGTTATTTAAAGTTTTGCGTGAGTAGCATGACGTATGCAGTGAGCACTTATTTTGATACCAACTGCTCTTATTTTGCGACCGACTGCACTGATTTTGCGACCGACTATTTTTCTTCCTGGGAGAAATTTGTTCATAGACCAACATACTCACAACAGAATAACAGTGAAACACAGCTTTTGAAAATGTTTATTTAATACTAAAGTTTTGCGTGAGTAGCGTGACGTATGCAGTGTGCACTTATTTTGATACCGACTGCTCTTATTTTGCGACCGACTGCACTGATTTTTCTTACCACATTTACTTCCCTGGTGATGAAACTTGGTGTATAGTTTCATTACAACAATACCTTGACTAAGTTCGATAATGGGCATTTTCTGCTAAGGGTAAGGAGCGATAAGCAATTTGATTGGTCAAGACTTTGGAACATAACAACTCTGCTTTAATTGGGGTAGAATATTTAAACTTGATGTAGATGTTCATTAGGTGAATGTCTTGACTGAGTTCAATGATTAACATTTCGAGCTAAAGCTAAGCAGAGCTAAACAATTTCATTGGTCAATGCTTTGGGACAAGATAACTTTGATTTTATCTGATAGAGAGTGATGAAACTTAGTGTGTATAGTTGATAATCAGTTTGATTGCTGTACTTTTGAAAATAATAAATGTGTTATCTATTTATTTTGGGATTTCGGCGGAGGATATCAGCCTCACTGTTGGCTTGTTCACATTTGTTTTTGGACACTCTACAGGTCACAATATTTATCAGATTTTTACAAAACTTAAAATATACTGTACTCAAAGATCTTGGTTCCTTTCCATATTGGCACGTATAGTACAAAAAAATCATATTTTTAGCCTGTGGACTTTCTAGAGGTCACTGTTTTTATTGGATTTTGAAAAACGTTTCAATATATATCACTTTTACATCATAATTACGGTTGAGTTCGAATTTCGTGCCAAGACTACATAAAACATCCTTGAGCAACTATAGTACACGCTTCAGCGTCATTTACTGCATTTACATTGTTATATTGCTAAAATTGATAGACAGTAAATAGAAGCCAAGAAAAAGATATGGTCTCGAGAACTATGGGGCAGATACATGTTTTTTACAGTTGTAGTTTGACAAGACAGTTCAACATTTTTTTCCATGTACTCCTTGATACGTTAAAGGATATATATCTAGCTATTGCTAATTCTTTATATTTTATTGATTATCTAGTATTAAAATAGTTTCAACCACCTTAAGCCTGAAGTGCAATTCATTCCGTCTTTATTAATGCCTTACTTTCTGCCATATTGGACATTCGCGAGAATAAACAAAATATGCTTACCCTTGCAATTAACGCAGCAAAACTCAGCTGGGCAGGCTGGTCTTACTGTGAACATATTTCTGACATTTATAGCAGCGAAGAGGGT